TAAGGAAGACACAATCAAACAGAAAATTATACTGTGTTCATGGATTCAAAGAGTTAACATCATCAAAATGACCATACTACTTAAAGCAATTTATACATTCAATGCAATACCTATTAAAGTACCAAAAGCATATTTCACAGATATAAAAACAAACACTTCAAAAATTTATATGGAACCATGAACAACCCTGAATAGCTGCTGCAATTTTGAGAAAAAAGAGCAAAGTAGGAGGGATCACAATACTTGATATCAAACTGTATTACAAGGCCACTGTAACTGAAACAGTCTGGTGCTGGCATAAGAATAGACACATAGACCAGTGGAATATAACAGAGAGCCCAGGAATAAACCCAAGTCTCTATGGTCAATTAATATTCGACAACAGGGCAGCAGCATAAAATGGAATAAAAACAGCCTCTTCAACAAATGTTGCTGGGAGAGCTGGACACCTACAAGCAAAAAAATGGAACTCGAGCACCAACTTACACCATACACTAAAATAAATTCAACCTGGATAAAAGCTTTAAATATAAGTTGTGACACCATTAAAGTCCTAGAGGAGAACATAGGCAGGAAAATCTCATGTATTTCATGCAGCAATATTTTCACTGATATGTCCCCTAGAGCAAGGGACATAAACGAAAGAATAAACAGATGGAATATCATCAAAATAAAAAGCTTCTGCATGACTAAAGAAAACAGTATTAAAGTGAAAGAAAGAACAAACCGTATGGGGAAACATTTGTCAATGATACCTCAGACAAGGGTTTGATCTCCAAAATATATAAAGAACTCACAGGACTCCACTTTAAGAAGACAAGCAACCCAATTAAAAATAGCCAAAGAACTTGAACAGACACTTCTCCAAGAAGGACATAGAGAGGGCCCAGAGGCATATGAAAAGATGCTCAGTATTGCTAGCTCTCAGAGAGATGCAAATTAAAAGCACAATGAGATACCACTTCACACTGGTGAGAATGGACATCACAAACAAAACAACAAACAAGTGTTGCAGAGGTTGTGGAGAAAAGGGAACCCTAGGGCACTGTTGGTGGGATAGCAGATTGGTGCAACCACTATTGAATACAGTATGGAATTTTTTCAGAAAAGTAAAAATGGAACTGCCTTTTGACCCAGCTATTCTGCTGCTGGGATTATACCCTAAGAGCCCTGAAACACCAATCCAAAAGAACCTATGCACCCCAATGTTCATAGCAGCACAATTTACAATAGCCAAGTGCTGGAAGCAACCTAAGTGCCGATGAGTAAATGAATGTGTCAAAAAACTAAGGTACATTTAGACTTCCGGCCAAAATGGAGGAGTAGGTGGACACACTGTGCCTCCTTGCACACCCAAAAGAACAACATTTTAAAAAGAAAAAACAACCAGAGCTGTCAAAAAATTGAACTGTATGGAAGTCCAACAACCAAAGAGTTAAAGAAGACACATTCATTCAGACAGGTAGGAGGTGTGGAGACAGGCCAGGCAGAGAGGACTGGTGGCAAGGCAGTGGCTGGAGGACCCAGTGAGGTGGCAGATTGTGTAGCAGGGTGGGCAACTCTGCAGCTGGCCAGCAAGGCAGCAGCTGGCAGACCCAGCAAGGCAATGGCTGGTGGAGCTTAAGGTCCCACATTGGCATCCATATAAACCAGGAGGAGGGAGGGAGACACACCACGCAGCTGAGAGCTCCAGCAGGGAGAAATGAAGCCTCAAGCCACTGATTGAAAACACCTATGGGGGTGGAGGCGGCAGCAGAAGAAACTCCCAGCCTTGCAGGAAAGTTCATTGGAGAGACCCATAAGGTCGTAGAATGTACACAAATCCACCCACCCAGGAGTCAGCACCAGAAGGGTGCACTGTGCTTGTGGGTAGTGGCGGAAGTGACTGAAAACCAGCAGAAAGCAGAGCAAGCGCCATTGTTCCCTGTTGGATCCCATCCCCACATACAGTGTCACAACACAGCGACATGGCTTACCCCACACCTAGTGAATACCTAAGACTCCACCCCTTATAAGTAACAGGTGTGCTGAGGCAAAAAAAAAAATGGCTCAAATGAAAGAGCAGATCAAACTGCAGAGAAAATACAACTAAGAGATGAAGAGACAGCCAAACTATCAGATGCACAGTTCAAAACACTAGTAATCAGGATGTTCACAGAAATGGTTGAGTATGGTCACAAAATAGAGGAAAAAGTGAGGGCTATGCAAAGTGAAAAAAAGGAAAATGCAAAGGGAACCAACAGTGATGAGAAGGAAACCAGGACTCAAGTCAATGGTTTGGACAAGAAGAAAGAACTAAACATTCAACCAGAACAGAATGAAAAAACAATTCAAAACAATGAGGAGAGGCTCAGGAACTGCCAGGACATCTTTAAATGTCCCAACATCCAGATGATAGGGGTACCAGAAGGAGAAGAGGAAAAGCAAGAAATTGATAACTTATTTAAAGAAATAATGAAGGAGAATTTCCCCAATCTGGCAAAGGAATAGACTTCCAAGAAATCCAGGAAACTCAGAGAGTCCCAAAGAAGTTGCACCCAAGTAGGAACATACCAAGGCACATCATAATTACATTACCCAAGATTAAAGATAAGGAGAGAATCTTAAAGCAGCAAGAGAAAAAGAGACAATTACCTACAAAAGAGTTCCCATAAGATTGTCAGCTGATTTCTCAAAAGAGACCTTACAGGCAAGAAGGGGCTGGAAAGAAGTATTCCAAGTCATGAAAGGCAAGCACCTACATCCAGCCAAGATTACTCTATCCAGCAAAGCTTTCATTTAGAATGGAAGGACAGATAAAGTGCTTCTCAGACAAGGTCAAGTTAAAGGAGTTCATCATCACCAAGCACTTATTATATGAAATGTTAAAGGGATTTACCTAAGAAAAAGAAGATAAAAAATATGAACAGTAAAATGGCAGCAAACTCACAGATATTATCAACAACAAGTAAAAAATACAAAAGCAAACTAAGCAAACAGCTAGAAACAGAACCACAGAAATGGAGATCACATGGAGGGTTATCAACAAGGGAGTGTGAGGTGGAGAGCAGGGAAAAGGTACAGAGAATAAGTAGCATGAATGACAGGTAGAAAATAGACAGGGGGAGGTTAAGAATAATATAGGAAATGGAGAAGCCACAGAACTTATATGTTGAACCCATGGACATGAACTAAAGGCAGGGATTGTGGGGGTGTGTGCAGGGCAAAGGGGAATAAAGGGGGAAAATGGGACAACTATAATAGCATAATCAATAAAATATATTAACCCCCCCCAAAAAACTAAGGTACATTTATGTTACAGAACAAACCTGGGGGGTACGATATACTGTTACCGAAAGGACCCCCCCACTGGGTCCATTATGCCCACCATCAGAGGAAAGACGTCTCTCAATGTCAGAGATTTGTGAAAAGGAAAGCAAATATTTATTTAAATCTATACAGACTTAGAATAGTGACCTAATGTCTTCATTAAAAGATTACAGTCTTTTAGGATACCAACAGACTCACACAGTCCTTCCTTCTCCCTCTGCCCTAATCTGGCATACCGTATCTCAGGAAAAGAAGTAGAAGTCTGTAATTCAGGCTCCTAGCACCATCAACTGTGTCACTGCCAGGATCTCCAGTTAATCCAACCCATGTGGCACCTTCTCATGGCCCAACAGCAAGAGTCCTTTCACCCTTTTCTTGCAGGCAAAGTCTCTCCTGCTTACCTAAGACACGTGGCAAAAAGGAGCACCCCAAAGCCATGTGGTCCTCACTCTCACCAAAGCTGTGGAGGTCCCCACTCTGCCAAACCACATGGTTCTCTCTTCACATGACTTCTGAGTCTGGGTTTAAATCCCCGAGCCAATCTTCCTCTGCAGCCCCATTTCTGACTCCTCCTACAATCAGTTACACCTGCCAGCATTCCTGTATTCTTCCAGGTTTACTGGGCTGCCATCGTGAGTATGGGCAGGTGTGGCCCCATGTTATGGAGCCAATCTTCTCCAAGCTCTCATGCAGGCACTGTAAACAGGGGGAGCTTCCCCTCAGTTACATCTTGGGTGGAAGTCACTTCCATCCCCCTGGCTCAAAGCATGGCCACAGCTATTTAACATATCCATGAAACCAGTCTAAACTTATAGATACGTTAAATGACCATGCCAGAGGTTACCTGAAAAGCTGTTGCTGTACAAAACAGCTCTGCATGTTACTGCTCCATGTGTCCCTTCCCCCAATTCATACCTATGGGGGGAGGGGGGAGGACATCCTATATATCTTTCTAGTATTTCCTGGACACCTTGAGTTCTGGACCCCATTCCAAATCTCTCTTTGGGGCCCCCCTCCTGGCTGCACCCTGTTACATTTACATGATGGAATACTACTCAGCAGAAAGAAAGGAGCTCCTACCCTTTGGGACAGCATGGATGGATCTGGAGAGCATTATGTAAATGAAATAAGCCAGGTGGTAAAAGACAAATACCATATGACCTGACCTATAAGTGGAACATACTCAACAAAACGAACAAGCAAGGAAAGTATAATCAGAGACACTGAAATTAAGAACAAACTGACAGTAATCAGAGGGGAGGTGGGAGGGGATAATGGGAGGAAAAGGGGGAATGGTTTTCAGGAATAGGTATAAAGGACACCTGGACAAAGCCTCAGTGGGGTAGTAGGATCAAGGGTGAGAAGTGGGGATGGCTGGGGTGGGGGTAGTAGGGGGGGACATGGAGACAACTATACTTGAACAACAGTAAAAAATGTTGATACAAAATAAAAAGCAAAAAAAATGTTGTAATAAGGAGGGAGTGAATCGATATATCTTGTTTACAATTAGAATCAAATACATTTACAAAGAAACAGATGGTGAAGTTCACAAAAAAGTTAAGTCAATGACTACAAGTTTCTTGTGCTGATCATGTGGACTAGTGTTTTACAACTCTGCGACCCTCTTCTTGGAAGCATCTGGGAACCTGAACAGCCACCCCATCACTGCAGTAGTTTCATGACAGTAATACCTGACTTGCTTTTCATCAGTGCCACCCCCAGGCGAGAGTCTCAGAAGCTGGTGAAGGACAGCTGGTCTGCAATCTTCAAGGTCTCCTTTCAGAATGTCACTATGATTATAGAGCCTATAAAATAAAACAGGTGCTGCATGAGCTGTTTATTTAAGCACAGACAGCCAGCTTCTAGAACCTATGGTGGTTCTTTGTGGTTTATTGAAATATATCTGTAATATAATCTAGTCATAAAAATGCAGCAACTAGACTATCTTTTGACAAACATGTAAAATGGGGCAGTTTGAAAAATTTGTTTGTGTGTATGTGGCACTTTTAAACACATCAGAGGAAATAACTTTTAACCCTCTGAAGACTTTAATGATGTTCAAATCCACAGCTATGCAATCTCATTCCATATTCCACCAGACTAATAGGAATCGTAGATAATCCTAAGAGGAGAAAAGACTAATTTTATATTGTCAATCATAACCAAGTTAGAGCTCCACAACTCATATAACATTTACTTAAATTGCCACTGCTAAGAAATTGAAAACTGCTGATTGAAGTATGTTACATCCTCTATTTCTGAATGAAGAGAAATGATTATTATTTCTTCATTTAAATCCTATTGCAATAACATTTTCTTTATTCTTAGTAAGAACAGGAAGGCATAGAAAGAGGAATTTAGCCTTCATTATTTATTTCCAGTTTACTGTGGGACTTGTAGAGTCTAACCATTTGGCCACTGTTTTAGGTTAGGTTTGTCATGGTATTATAGTAGCCTCCAGACAGACTGGTTGTAACTTCCTTTAAAACAATGTCTATCTGGGGAAAGAATGATTCTAAAAAGTTATGGGAGAAAATATTAAAGATTTTATCTTTTAAGGAACTGATCACACATGTAATTGGGAATATTCAACACATACCCCAAAATGAAAGTGAAACAATTCATAGAACAATATGGCTATGTGACTGGTATCACAAGGATAAAAGAGAGGTTCTCTGTCCATCTACTGGAGGGTGACTGGCAAAAGCTCAAGCCCACCTCCACCCTGAAGCACACTTTTACCCTGGACAGGAAATAAAGTAGGCCCCATGGATTCAGGCCCTTTTCTAAACTCTGGGCCACCCTGTCAGTTCTCTAGCTCCTTCATAAACCCTAAACTCTTATTTAAACTCTAATCCTGGATTCTCAATACCTTTAGGCCAGCCCCTTAGTTGGGTCCTTCCTTCACTCTGAGCCCTGCTGCCCTAAACCTTCCAGACTTCTAGTCTATGTGACTTACAGTACTTGTAAATACATTTTTCTTAGGCAAAACCTGGGGTTTAATTCTTTCTGGAAGGTTTTATCTTGCCACCATTCAATTCACAGAATAACAGCCTACCCTTAAGAAGAAAAAGATAAGCCCACAGAATGTGACCCAATTTCAGAGCAGTAAAGGAGAGCATGTAATCAATGGGCACACAATAAAGAATTGTGAGGGGGTAGAGAGACAGAAAGCTCCCTGGAGTCACAGGGGCTTGACTAAGGAGGAGGAATTTGGGAGAAGGGGATATAATTCAAGCTAAGGAGCAGCAAAGGCAAAGGTGACAGAAAATTCACTACAGGCTGGACTTTCAGGTTTCATTTTCTCTAGGGGACAACGGTCTCAAAATGCTATGGTAATCACTGATGATAAATAGTAATGTATTTGCTTACATAATTAATAAAATATAATGCTACCTTTAAAAAGTTTTACAAAATACATTTACTACATTTTAATGGTGGTGAAGAATCATAAGTACTATAGTTGGTCACATCCAGAACAAAGTTTTAGGAAAAAAAAATTGTATTTCAAAAAGATCAACAACAAAGGGGCATCATTTGCAGAGGTGGTCCATAAGCTATAAGTGTGTTACTTAAGATAAACCCATACACAGAAAGATGGGAAAGAAGCAAAGCAACCCTTTATTCCCAATTCCAATGCAAACAAACTGGCCCCAAAACCCCACTTCCTCCTCCCAGTTTGATCCTTCCAAAACACAAGGCTTTGATCTTTAAACGAACAACACATGGTCTGGACAGAAACATTTACTTTTAAAACTATCACTTTATCAAGTTCTAGTTCTGTATTTTTACATTTAATTCTCAAGGAAATTTACTGATTATATTTTAAAATTCTCCTAAGACCCTACTTCTTAAATTTAACCAGAAGTAACAGAAAACATTCATGTATGAAACACCAAGAAGACCTCAATTGCTACAAAATATAACTAAGGAACCAAAGGGTACTGTTGTCAGTCAAAACTAATTCAATTTGTATAGCTTACTGGTTATCCTGAAGCAATTTAGCACCTTCACCAAGAGAAAACGTTCAGTGGCCTCCCACCCACAGGTACACAAATACAACCAAGAAGCAGAGAGGTCTCTAGAAGCTCTACCTCTATAAAGATGTAAATTAAGGTTTAAACAGTGTAAGAATTGGCTAGGGCTAATCCTTTTACAGAGGTGTAAATAGCTATTGAGAACTGAATTCCAGGCTGCTAGCTTTTGTTAAGGAGCATTACAGACAAATTTCACACAAAAGCAATAACAAGCCACCAACTCCAGGACTATTAATAGTTTCATAAAGCTGGTACAATTTGTTTGCTTTGATATCAAATTTCCTGACCATAAATCCAAACATGATATAAAATATAAACCACATCAAGAATTAGTGCTTTGGGAAAATAAACTGGAAGCGACTATTTCAAACTTGACACCCGATGGTTGGAACAGCTGTATGTGCTGCCACAGTGAAGTTTGTACATGGGGTTTTGTTTTCCACACAAAACAGTTGTAGAAAGGACAAACACATACATAGTTAAACAGTATTTTCCTTTTAATGGGCAGTCTTACAAAACCTATGTTTTGGTGGTTACATCAGTCCCCATTATGCAGCCCCTTGGGTGGTCCCTTACAGGGGGCCACTAGAGGGGAACACAATGCCAAAAAGAAGGGAAGTAGGAGACCTTGACACAAAGGCCAACAGAGCAGGGCAGTCTGCAGCAGGGGTCAGCAAACAACACTCCTTCTCTTTACCCAGGAAACAAGGGCTCCTTCTCTTTACCTGGAAAAAGTGTGGTTAAGCTGACAGCTTGAATTATGCGCTACATTTTGTAGGGTGCTATCCATTTGTGTTAAGGTCCTCTTTATTGTAGCAGAGGCTGCACAAGCAAAATCCTTGCTTTTTCCCCTACTTTGGCCACCAAAACAGACCTCGTCATTCTGTTCTATTTTAATTCTCAGAATTATCACCCTCCCATACCACATGTTTTGTTTTGTTTCCCTTAATGAGCAGCTGGAAGGCCTGAGAGAATTTATCATACATGTTTTTCTCCACTCTCACACAGAGATAACCAGTCTAAACCCATAAGGAGTTTTAGTAGCCAAGAATCATTTGTGATAAATGCAGACAGGCATTATGAAATGGGTAAATGTTCTCAGTCCATTTTCTCTTTGAAAACTGTGGATCCCAAACTTAGCATCCAGTTTGATAAAAATCCTCCTTGGTGGGAAGGTGAAGACTAGAAAGATTTACTCTTGCTCCATGGGTTTCTTTTAAATCAACACTCACATATCACCAGAGGGGTATGGTCATTAGGGTGCTGGCTGTGCTCTCTAATCTGAGGGGCATACAACATATTTATGGAGCTGGTCACCTAAAAATGACCTGCATTAAATATCTGATGCAAAATGGAGGGTAAATGTCTTATTGTCATACAACTTTATACCTTTCAAAAATTTGATACATCAGGCCCTGCATTTTAGAAAAGTTTTAAAAATACTATAAAAATACTACATTTTTTAAATTTATTAGATGTTATCATAATCAGTTCTGTAGTTAAACCCTAAGAGGGTACTTCTGCCAAAAGGGCATCTGATAGTGTTAGGATTATCTTTGCTGTGGCTTAATCACAAATGGAGGACCATTAAACAAAACATCAGATTTTTCCTGTGCTGTTACAGGTCTATCTCTGTATGTATGTGTAGGTACATGTGTCTGTAAGAGGAAAGAGGAGGTTTAGGTGAACTGGCAAGGGTTATAGGGTATGAGGGGATCCAGGGACAAAGAAACCAGAGGGTATAAATGTTACCATAGATAGTTAGCTAATTATTAATAGAGAAGGAAGCAAAGGGCATTGGAAATTTTGAGCCTAATGGGCTGGGGAGCATAAGCCTGTTTGCTTCACCAGGAAGGTAGAGCTTCACACACTCCAGGAGATTACAGCTTTACTGGGCCAAAGATTAATAACTCTTGCTTCCCTCCTCAGTTACTGAATTCTTGGGGGGAGCAGGGAGAGGTAAGCATATGCATAGTAGAAGTCAAAATGATGCAGGGTAAGGTACATGACCATAGAGACCTATAAGTCTAACCTGAGACAGGGATCAATTGTCTAGGGGGTGAACCCATCAGAAGCCCAAGAATTTGATTTTGTTAGTTTGAAAAAGCTCCTAGCTCTTCCCAAGTCCAAGATAATATAATCCCAGGATAAAAAGAGCTCTTTCTTAGTTACCTGTGCTCATCTCATGTGCTCGTGCATTCTCTCTCCATAACCATGTGGCCCTAGCAGCCGTGTGGCTGATAGCCATTTGCACACCCAAGGCAGGCTCCAGGAGGGAGCCTGGATACCATGGCACAGCAACAGATTGCAGTTGGGAGTACAGGCTAAGCTAGCTGGATAGTGAGAAAGGTTCGACTGGATTAAGCTTCAATATGGCACAGATACTCTGGACACTGGACTTTTTTTTGCATTGCTGAAGACACAGTGGACTCTTTTCATGGTGGAATGGACAGAGATGAGACACAGGGGCAGCCTTCCACCCAAATAAATCTTGCCACACCACAATCATGCATGGGTCAGTGAAATGCATTTCTATGTTGTGAGAGAACCTCACTTCCACCAGCAACATGATGAGATGGTAGATGAACTTAATGAGGGCTCAGGCAATATTCAGACCTTGAAATAAATTAGTATGTCACTTCTCTAGGATAAATGAGTCTCCTTAGAGGCCAATTAACCCTGATGAATGGAAAGGGGGTTCAGTGCCATCACCCTCCACTAAAGGGGAGCTCAGACCAGTAAGGCAGATGTCTACTTGCATTGTGACT